GTGGTCCTGACATCCTTGCTCGTGTTCTCCCTCCATCTGCTTCTCATTGGGACCTTGGGAGCTCAGTCCAGTGCTCCAGTGTAGGTCTCTGTCTCTATCTCCATCCATCACCAGATGAAGGTTCTATGGTGATATGAAAGATATTCGTCAGTATTGCTATAGGATAGGGTCATTTCAGGTTCCCTATCCTCTGCTTCCCAAGGGACTAACTGGGGACATCGCCTTGGGCTCCTGGGAGCCACTCTAGGTTCAAGTCTCTTGCCAACACTAAGGTGGCTCCCTTAACTAATATGTGCTTCCCTGCTCCCCTATCCAACTTTCCTTTATCCCAATCTTCCAGGGACGGGGAGAGAAAAGTGAGAAGGGGAGGTTTGGGGGAACTTGGGGAAACAGGAAGATTGTTTAGGGCTATTTTAATAAAAGAAAGATTTTAAAAAGTGGGCAACTGTAATAAACATTTTAAAAAGAATATTGTATCCTGAACATGCGGTTCAGTGGCAGAATATTCCAATAACATGCACAAGAAGTTTGAACCACCTCATAGGAACATAAGAGTTCTTTGTGAGACTTATATGGTAGATATCTGTATTTTTAGTAAACTCTTACCATACACACGTATGTAGAGCAATTATTTCCCCATAAAGCAATGAGGTTCTGAATTTTTAAGAATTGTATTGAATAATGTGTGCAGATGTCAGCAAAGTTAAAGCAGTTACCCTCAGAATAGGCAGACACTGTCCTTGATTCAGATGGAACACCAACAGCAAAAGAATGCACAGAGAGCAAAATCCAGGGGGGGAGTAAAGAGAGAAAGAGGGAGAGAGAGAGAGAGAGAGAGAGAGAGAGAGAGAGAGAGAGAGAGAGAGAGAGAGAGAGAGAGAGAGAAATAGAAAATTGGTTTCTTACATTAAAAGTTGTCATTTCTATTTCTTTTGTGCCTGATTTATAGGTGTACAAAAGATACATAGCTCACATTTTTTTTCTTGATTTCTGATTTTAAAAGCCAGCATCATTACTGAAGGATCAAAAATCTTTATATTTTAGCTGGGCTGTGGTAGCGTATACCTTTAATCCCAGGACTCAGGAGGCAGAGGCAGGCAATTCTCTGTGAGTTCAAGACTACAAGAGCTTGTTCCAGGACAGGCTCCAAAGCTACAGAGAAACCTTGTCTTTAAAACACTTTATATTTTAGCTTCTATTTATGTTTCCTTGTGCAGATAGAAACAAAATAGCTTCTGTCTTTAAGTATGTACTGTCTTACTTTTGTCTTCATAATAAGATAATCTAAATATTCAAATATTAACTAACTGTGATGATAATTTGCATTTTGTTAATGTTAACGTAGAATGCTCTAGTATTTCAACAATAAGGTCAAGACTGACTTTTTCCTTTGAGATTAGTATTTTTATTATAAATTTATTATTATGAAATTAATTTACTTCACATATTCACCAGTTTTCCACCCTCCTCTCCCCCATTCCCTCCCTTTCACTTTCTCCATTATCTTCCTGATATTTTTTTCTAGACCTATTGCATATATTTCTTTAAACAATCATTGAAAAACACCTATAGTTAGAGACTTATGTGAGTTTTAAGAGTGCTATACTTTCATTTATCCATCACCAAAGTCAGAAACCATAGCAGAAACTCTCACCTCATCCCATTTCCTGCAAATACATATCTATTCTTTGTCACTGTAGATGGGTTTTCTAGGAAGTCACATAAAGCAACTAGAAGTACTGAAAGATTCTTTTCTCTCACTCTGCAATCTTACTTAAATGCCAGGATTGAGAGATGCTGAAAATTATGAGTGGTATTAGCTCATGCAAAAATACAGCAAAATAAAACTCATAAAAATTTAAATGAGCATAACAAAACTTATTTTCTTTGGAGAAATGTGCCTGTAACTCCTGCACTTGGGTTGTGAAGAAGGAAGACTAGGAGTTCAAGGTCTTTATCCTCTGCTCTATAGTAGGTTCAAGATCAGTCTGAGCTGCATAGCACACTGCCTTAATAAACAAACAAGAAAAAATTGCAAATGCCATATTCTGATTATCTGTTGCTGGTAGTTATATGTTAACATCATGTTCAGCATTTGTATAATTTTATTTGTTAATCTTACTTCTTTGTATATTGCAATATCTATTCATAAGCACATTTTTCCAAAGAAAATAATCTGAACAAAAATAAATATATACTGTGAACTGCAGTAGACAGTATAAACTTCCTAAGGAAGCTTTTGTATGTTCATCCTTGCCTACAAACCAATTCTAATGACAATCATGGGGGGCATTTTTCCAGAATATTATTAATAAATGATAATTAAATACTAAATAGAGGATGGTGCCTGATAAGTATGGGTTAAGAATCCAGTTCTGCTAGAACCTCTGAATGTGGGTGATAGTTCTGTGGCTTGGGTAGTCTGTGGGGCAACTAGCAGTAGGATCAGGATTTATCCCCAGTGCCTGAACTGGCTTTTATGAGTTCATTACTTATGGAGGGATGCCTTGCTCAGCCTCATATGGGCAGCATTGGAGGTGAGGGGAGATTTGTCATAACTCTACTTCATATGCCAGATTTTATTGACTTCCCATGGAAGGCCTTACTCTTTCTGAGTATTGGATGACAGGGTTTGGTAGGAGGGGAACAGGAGGAAGGAAGAGAGGAGGAACTGTGGTTGGTGTGTAAAATTAAAAATAAAAAAGAAACCAGTTCCGAAAGAAATGAATGTAAATAACAAATGCTCCAAAACATACTTTTATTTTAAAACTAAATAATCAGAACTCATCTCTCTATAAAAGGTCTTTCAGATCCCAAAGGAAACACATGGAAGGCTGTGTATTCTGTGTGTGTCTGTCTTTATGACTTGGAGGCAAAAATAAAGACTAGCTGCCTAACCATAATATGGAGAAATACTTTTCTTCCTGATTGAAAATCAAGGAATTTTCAATGATAAAATCATAGAAAATTTACAGAGGAGGTATTCTAAATCTTTCTCCAGAGGTCTAAAGTTTTCTTTGAAGTAAACCGCAGTACCAATGAAACCCTTAAGCCATCTACAGATGACCAAGATCCACGTATCATGTTAAATATTTCTGTATATTATTTTACTAAGTAGTATTTAATCTTGGTCAATTCAAATCCCCTCTCTATGAAGCAAGGCAAAATGCTAAAAAAAAAAATGAAAGAGAATATATCTTATTTGCATGCTAGCAAACTAGCTTTCAGTTCTTGTTCCACCATCTGCTGTGACAGATTCCAGCCGATGCTAATGATATTAAATGTAGACTGGTGATTGACTCTCTGCCTTTCCTCTTCCCCAAATTCTCATAGTATTGTTGCCACATCTATATTTCTTGCCTTGCTACCGGCCAATCAACATTTTATTAAACCAACACAAGTGACAGATCTTTAAAGTGTATAAAGCATTATCCCACCGAAATTAAGTATATCAATAGTTCTGAATTGTTTGGTGGAGTAATAAAATTCTCCTCAAAATCAGTTTTGACCTCACCCTTTATCACACAGTGCTCAAATTATGTTTGATGAAGATTAGTAGAGCAACAATAACCTAGGATATTAGACCTACCTTCCTTTACCTTTCTTAAAATTTGTAGATTTGGTAGTTTGTTCCTGAGGATCATTTCTTTCCCCTTGTGTGCAATGTTCCCTGAGTCTAAGGTATTGGGGTTGTATTGTATGTTTAATAATTGGGGTTTGGCATTCCACAGTTATTTATTTATTTTTAGTTTGACCAGTTGTGGCTTTCTGTAATCATTTTCATCTATTTAACAAAAGAAGCTTAATTGATAAGGTTGAAACCTACACTTACCTGTGGATATAAGGATAAGTATTCAGAATGCAGTCAGAGAATATAGGAAAGTGACAAGAGTAGTAGGTTATTCTCTATGTACCATGGCCTGTCCAGCTGTGGGCATTGGGTAATTTTATATTATTGTTTATGAATTTCCATCTAGTGAGTAGAATTTAAGCCCAATAAGGTGTCTTCTGGTTACCCCAAGGATATATCTGCCACCAATGAATCTCTCAGAACATCTTGTGCTGATCCTTGTTGTGGTTTAAAGGTATTACAGCTGGATAGCATTTTTGGATTACCTTTCTCTGTCATCAGCTTGCATATTTTCTTCCAGGCCAGATTCAGATATAGCTTTCCAAGTCCTCTGAAATGTATGGTGTCTCAATAATAGGGTCATATCTTCTTTTTCTAAACTCAAAAAGGGCAATGGCAATAGCTTATATTATTTGGGAGTCGCTTGAAATTCCCTGACTCTTAAGGAAGTTTCTCATGTCTGGCATTGGAGTTTTGAGAGACAGTCTATGGTTTGGGAAAGGAGCATTATCTCTCCAAGTGGTAGAATTCATATACACACACATATATTTTATATTCATATACATATCAGTACATGTACATATTATGTAAAATATATGTATAAACTTGCATATATTATATTAGTTTTAAGTAGACATATATTATATTAGTTTTAAGTAGACTTTTTCAAACAGCTTTAGTGTTATTTATCCCTCTTCCTTGCCTCTCCTTCAGTGTTCTCTGTTTTCCCCTCCTCAGGTAAATTTTCATCCATTTTCTCCCATTTCTACTTCATAGCAACTGTATTTTTAATTTAAAGAAACCAGTGGAAAAATAAATGGTCCCATTTTCTTAATGCCAGCTGTATGCAATGCTAAACTACAAAACAGACATTGCATTAGGTGGTAAAACAGCAAGGAAAATTATGCCTATCATTTCATACAAGGATGATGAGTATCCTTATGAATGAAACAGTTATTACAACAGAAAGCATCATTTAAAAAAATTCAGTTATATTAACAATGTGTCATTTTAAAATTATATCAGTTCTCTTTCCTCATGTGCTGTCAACGTATATATATATATATATATATTCTAGAAATATGTATTCTAGAATATATATATTCTAGAAAACATGCTAAGATAAACTTATTTCTTATAGGTTAATGCCATAATCCAAACACCACAATAATATTTTTATGAAATTTAAATAAAAGAAACAATTTGTATATTAACCAGGAAGTTATTATATTCTGTTGCTTTTTTATTTATATTTTGCTTATTGTATAATTTACTTATTCTTATTTTTTCTGTCTCTAAAAACAGTTTTTTAGATTTCTTGTAGTGTGGGTCTTCTGGGTATCTGGATGTTTGTCTTTCTCTTTCAGTTTTGAAATCTACTCTTCCATTCTAGGTTGAGATTTTTCCTATTTTTCTACTTTTATTGTTCAATCAGATATTTTTTTCCTCTGCTTCTGCCTAAATCTGCCACAATCCTTATTGGTCCATTTTAGTGCACCTCTTTTTAGATATTTTGATGTTGTCTCTGTAAAAATAATATGGAAATTTAGGTTAAGATTTGCTTTTTTATACTAGTAGGTTCTCTGTGTTTGGTTTACTGAGCTTCTTGGTTGAAATGTTTATAGCTTCCACAAGATTTGAGAAACCGATGCTGTTGTTCATTTTTAAATTTTTGTTTATTTTTGTTTAAGTATATATGTATGTGTCTGCTTGCCTGTATGTGCATTCCCTGCATGGTCGTGACTATAAAGTCCAGAAAAGAACATAAGAACTCCTTTAACTGTAGTTACAGGGCGTTGTTAACCACAGAATATGAGAATGTAGGCATTAGAAACCAAAACCCTTTCTTCAGCAAGAGCTCTAAACAGCGTAGCCATTTCTCTAGCAATTTCTGATCATTGTGTCTTATACTCAGTCCAACATTTTGAGATATTTGAATTGCACACCATTAAGTTTGTTGAAATTCAGTGATATTCATTTCATTCTTCATTTTCCTTATGTGTTTAATTTATAATTTCAGGTTCAAAACTATTTACTTTGTGTGAATTAATCCCTTACAATACACTCTATTTCAAGAACTAGATTTTAAACTCTAAATGTCTATTTGGATTTTTTTCTCACTAGTTTTATTACCTGAAGAGTTGATAGTTAAAATTTTGGATACCTCTGATATATACCTGTTTTAGTGTTATCTGCTTTTTTGTATATGTGCCAGCTTACAGTGTTTGATTTTTCTTATTGCACATTGAAATTAGGAAGGGTTTTTACAGACCTTAAAATATAGATTTAATGTACAATACTGTATATTAAACAATGTTGAATGCTGGCTATTTTTTGTGTCCCTGTAGATATCCATTCAAGTTCTATTGGGAGGCATTCAAAATACATAGAAACCATGAAATCATTTTGTAAATGGAGATTGCGTTTTCATTTCCCAGTCATTCAGAGGCCAATAATCACACAGAAATTATATTAATTGCAACACTGTTTTGTCAAGAGCTCAGGCATATTCCTATCTAGCTCTTAAATTAAGAAATTTCTATTAATATGTGTATTGTCATGAGGCTGTGGCTTGCTGGCAAGGTTCTGACATCTTTCTCCTTTTGTTGCAACATGGCATTTGCCTGACTCCTCCTTTCTCCCTGCATTCAGTTTAGTTTTCCTACCTACCTCTATTCTGCCTGCCATAGGCCAAAGCAGCTTCTTCATTAACCAATGGTAATAAAACATTCTCAGCACACAGAGGAGGATCCCACATCAGCAGTTAAACTTTTGGATGACTGTAATGTATTTATAATACATGCTTTAATGTTATCAGCTTTTTTAATATCTGTGTGAGCTTTAGAGTGTTCTTCCATTTTTGTCATTACACACTATAATTTGGTAGGTTTTTACAGATCATAAAAATATATGGCTGAATGTATAGCAATGTGTATTGAATCACATTGAATACTGGCTATTTTTTGTGTCCCTGTAGATATTCATTCAAGTTGACTGTGAGGTACTCAAAATACATAGAAAACATTAAATCATTTTGTCTGGCTATTGAAATTATTTAGGAAATAAAAATCAAATGTTAGATCCAACCATTGGTGGATGACTTTTTGTGCATTCTGAACATTGATACATGAAATACACAAATTTCTATTGTTAGTAGTATAAATAGATACATTTCACTCTTCAAATCTCATTATCAATGTCTGCTCTGACTCTCCTAGATGATTACCTCCTGGCCTTAGGAAGTTATGTCATTGTAGCTTATAATTACCACTGCGTTTTGGTTCTCTGTACTATGGATGTCAGCAGTTTCAGGAAATCCACTGGACTCCTTCTTCTACAGCATGGACTGGAAACACTCAAGCCTCATTTACAGGGCTCACATCATGTGCTTCCATTGCTTAAGTGACAGTGTTATGACCTCTTAAAATTTTCTCATTATGAAACCTGATGTTCTACTTATTTTATCTGTTTGTTGTTCTTGTTTTACTATTGCTATTTCTCTCCTCCTTTAAAAATACAAATTAATTTCAAGCTGAAGGGAATTTATACAGTAATTAGTCATTGCTTTATTATGAAATACTTCCTGGGGACATGGATTTTATGAATTTCCATTCCACTTGATTTTCTAAGGTTATTAGAAATAAAGGCAGTCTGAGTAATCTTATCAAGCCTGTGCAGAAGCATTGCTGTTCCATTCTTGTGGGACTGAGAAGAGTGTGTCACTTGCCTGGTATATGTGTAGATGTTTTAAAGTCCCCGTGGGACAGGAGGGGTGGCTCATTTGGAGAGGCACTTCATGGGCAAACATGAGGACATGAGTTTAGATAACCAGGACACAAGAGCTATGAACAGTGTAATTTCCTTTCAATTTCTCTTTTTAATGTGTTATTTAGGAAACATTAGAACAATGCTGGCATTTTCTATTCAAGACAGTTATGTGTCAACTAGTTTTGTTTATATTATAGTATTTTTAATCCATCTGCTTACCCATTTTTTATTGTTGCTTGTGTTTTTTTTTTTTTTTAATTCTGTGGAAAACTGAATTGAAACAAGTGTCTCCCTTTGTTTTGAGGAAGGTGACTGATGATGTTCTAGAGGGAGAAAATTAAGGAAGATTCAAAGTTCTGCACACCTATGCTTTGAATCTAGCTTCTATGTTACCACTAGGTCCTGTGATATGTTATTTGATATTAATTAAAATAAATAAAAAGGAAAAGAAATAATAATAAAGATTATGTATTCTAAAGTAAAATTATCTTGCCAACATAGTTCTGTTGAGGTTCTATAAAAAGTAATATAGATAATTTCATTTTAAAATTTCATTGATATATTTGATAAATATTAAGGTTGAAATATGTGAATTGTAATCAGAACATATTACATGTGTGTCTATGTCTAAAAAAGCTAAATATATAAACAGTAATTAATTCTTAAAACAATATTTAAAATAGTCACCTATATTGAAAACTAAAAGCTAAATTAAAGGGATTTGTAGGATACATGATTTAACCAAACTTTATCCAGGAATTTAATAGTGTTTTGAAAGGCACACTTAACTGAAAGTTATCAAAGATGCAATTATTACAAATGCAAGTCACATTCTGTGTTTTTTAGTAAAAATAAAATCACAAGACTTAACCTCTAGTATCCAAGTCTTTAGAGAAACATAAAACCTACAATACCTGCTCTTTGAAAAGTGCAGTTTCATCTTGTGAGTATAGCTCAATGGTGAACTCTTTCCCAGTGTGAAGCCCTAGGTTTGAATCTTGATAACACAAACAAAAGTAAAAATTACAAAGTAAAACTAAAAGCCAGCATTATGAAGCAAGTAACAAGCTACAAATTTAGTGTAAAGCACAAAATCCTACCTTTCAGGAGACACTGAGTAGTAAAGTAAATTTTGAAAACAGATCCTGAGATTCTCCTTCTTTAAAGTCTTAACTCTTTTGGACACCAGTTCTTAGCACAGAGCAATTCTGCCCCCTCGTGGTCAGTTAGTAATTGTCTCAAAAAATTTAATTAATGGCTAGAAACTAATTATGACTGAGTACATCCCATGTTCCTCTTTTTGGGTCTGGCTTACCTCACTCAGGATAGTGTTTTCTATTTCCGTCCATTTGCATGCAAAATTCAAGAAGTCATTGTTTTTTACTGCTGAGTAGTACTCTAATATGTATATATTCCATACTTTCTTCATCCATTCTTCCATTG